GACCTTGGCTTGGGTGCCGTCACACAGCGCGTGTAAACATGTCCACGGTCTGTTTCAATTATGCGTTTGTTTACATTTTCATTAAGATGTAGTAAATGGGAATGTAAACAAACTAATAAATGACCCGACTGTAAGACAGTCCGCTGATATCCAATAAAAGCTACTCTCAAAAATAATAAGTAAATAAATAAATATCCATGTCCAAATATCTCCCAAGTTTTTTTCTTATACAACTTAGAATGGCAAACAAGCTGACGGCCCACCTGATGGAAAGTGGTAACCGTCGCCTATAGACACGAGCAGTACCATGGACATAACAGAGTATACTGTTTCGCCCATGATACCCCAAATGCGTTGCCATTCCTGAGGACTCAGGTGTTATTCCTCTGTACCCAGTAAATTCACGCCTTATCCCACCCTTCAAACCGAAACACAGCCATGCAAACACAACTGCTTCACGGTTGAAACACTAATGGAACAGAGGTACCCAAGCAATCGACTTTCGCACTCGTGTATTCTGACACTTCCCTATGGTTGACTGGGAGAGAATGCTTTTAGCATTAAGTCCGCCATGTACACATATATGTACTAATGAATAAATAAAATATCTATTAAGTATGCCAATTTTTTTAATACCTACTCATAATATTATGTATTCTGTGATAATACAAAATATCGATAATATAATTCGATTCAATATCGATCGTGTTGAGTCGATTACATTCGGCGGCGAGTCGAATAGATTCGTCACGGGCGGCGACGCGGCCGTGTCTGATCGGCGCTCGGCGATCGTTCCACCTACGGCCTCTGTACTCGATCCACTTTTATTCATATACTAGTTTTTACCCGCGATACCGTTCGCGTAACCCGTTTATATATATATATATATATATATATATATATATATATATATATATATATATATATATATATATATATATACAGGGAGAACCGCGAGGAGGTCGACCTGGTTGGGTATATTGCTAGCAATGGGATTCTCCGTCTCCATTACTAACAATCCCTTTCCCCCCTTCCCGTTTATTTGACCGGTTTAAAAGTATCTTTCGATCATATCTCTCGATCCCAAATAGTACGTAATGATATAACAGAACAATTACCGTAAAAAATATGAAGACATATACGTTTTATACGTAATATTTTTCTCTTTTTTTTTTCAAGTGCAATAAAGAATATATATTTTAATCATCTCGACAGACTTTATGTATGTGGATTCAACCTAAACGTCGGGAAAGCTCGCATTAAAAAAAATTGGGGTTGCGAAATATTCCAAAGAGGGGAATATCACTGGGCCCATAACTCGCATTGTAAAAAATTCGCTGTTCTTACGAAATATTCCAAAAAGGGAAATATCACTGGGCCCATAACGGAACGAATACGGGTAGTCCTTTAGCGCACCTCGAATAGACTATAGACCAGTATCTAGAACGAGGTCAGTGTTAATATTGAACAAAAACTAACAAAAAAATTTATAAACAGACTGACAAATTGTATAGATTACCTTGTAAAGATATTACAAGAACTAAATTATAGAGCAGCGATTAATTTAAAAACACTAAGTCAAACTAAGAACAAGGAATTACATAGAAGGAATGATAAAATAAAAACTATAAATCATACGGTTACCTCTTTTCTTCTTATGCAAATGTAATTAGTAAAAAAAGGACGAAAGATACACCATCAGTTGCTATTTATCTCAATTCATAGCAGGCTAGTGTATAGAAAATGTTTGATATGTCAATTATTTGTCATTGACAAATTTTACATCACTAGATTATATACTCGACACAGTTTATGTAGAAAGTATGCAAGCGGGTTGTATCTGAATTTGTTAGGTTTATACGGCCGTATGACATTTTCTGTTATTTTATTCATTAACACCAACATTAGTCTTGTATATTTATTTAATTAATACATTAAATTAATATACAAAAATTATTTAATTAATACACGCCTTTTTTTTTTTTTTTATGCCACTTAGAATGGCAAACAAGCTGACGGCCCACCTGATGGAAAGTGGTAACCGTTGCCTATAGACATGAGCAGTACTATGGACATAACAGACAATTTTAAGGCAATTAAACAGATGCCAAAAAGTTCTGTCACGTGGCGTTTATTATGTAAAATGTCTGTTTAAAACGAATAAATATTTTATATTTAATTTAATTTCGTTCCATCATTACAAACTTTCTCATTAATGTTATTAGAATTTTACATGCTTTTTTTTTAAACAAGCTGACGGCCCAAAGTGGTAACTGTCGCCTGTAGACATGAGCGGTACCATGGACATACTAGAGTATACTGTTTTGCCCATGATACCCCTCATGCGTTGCCATTCCTGAGAACTCAGGTGTTATTCCTCATTACCCTGTAAATTCACTGCCATATCCCATCCTTCAAACCGAAACACAGCCTTGCAAACAACTGCTTCACGGTAGAAACACGAATGGGACAGAGGTGCCCAAGCAAACGACTTTTGTACAGTCTTCCTTATGGTAATGTTACATATAACATGTTTACAAGTGTGTCCGCATTGTTTCTACCGTCTTACGTTTATCGCTTAATTCCTAATTAGATAAGCCATTTACTAGTACAATGAAGTATTGAATCATCAGTGTGACGGAGTGACTGTTCGGTCGAGCCAGAGACATTTTACAAGGTCGTAACGATGACGTTCCGTATGATCCCGGCATAGGGCCACCACTTCCTTTCCCGTGGGTGTCTTAAGCGGCGACTCAGGGAGAACGGCGGCGGTACCGGCCGGTACCGTCGCAGCCGCTATGTCCCTGCATTTTAAATCTGTAATATCTTCGGAAATATTCATTTAAATTACATGCTGTAAAGGAACATATTGATTTATATTAAATGGACAATGTATGTAAGGTACTTAATTGGATAAGAATTAATGCTGTATTGCTTGAAATCACTTCGTAAATAACCCATTTTTTTTCCATAAAATGTAAAGGATAAAAAATAGTTATTGTGGGTTCTCTCTAAGAGATAGGCATATAGTATCGCGGACTTTTTTGACGACCTTCTTAAGGTGTATTACATTATTCATTATTATAGCCGTAGTACATTATTTTGATCTATCTCGTAGGGTTTGCAATTTGCCAACGTTTGCAATGTAACCGCAAAAAAATGTGTTTATTTAAGACATTGCATTAGAAACCTCTAAAATTATCAGTGTTTCTCTACAATATTATGCATGTATTATACATATAAACCTTCCTCTTGAATCACTCTATCTATTAAAAAAAAAACCGCTTCAATTTCCGTTGCGTAGTTTTAAAGATTTAAGCATACATAGAGACGGACAGACAGCGACAGCGACTTTGTTTTATACTATGTAGTGATTATTTTTGAGAGTAGCTTTTATTGGATATCAGCGGACTGTCTTACAGTCGGGTCATTTATTAGTTTGTTTTAGTAAATTGCATCAAAATCTGTTACGAAGCTTTAAAGATCTAACCATACATATGGACAGACAGACTAGAAGCGACTTTGTTATATATATATATATATAGGTATATAATAAAGCCTTACTCTCAACACTATCCTTGAATGAATGAATTCATATTTGCCAATTGCTTACTTTTTTTTTGTATGAAATAATATGTTTTCCACAGTAGTTTTTGAGTTTAGGACTGTCCCAAATTTACGAACTTGACGTGGAACACAATTTAGACCAAACACAAGGCCACCTTTTGTTACTGCACATTCTGTATCAACAATCTGTTTTGTGCGCAATAAATAGTTTGTTATGTTAACCACTTAGTAATTTAGTGACGTTTTAACAATATTTACTTAGATTATATAGATAGAGTGTCTCCATACAAATGCTTCGAGAAGTTGACCAAGTGTCAACTTTGGGTACCTCTGTCCCATTACCAGAGGGAGACTTTGTACAAAAGTCGATTGCTTGGGTACCTCTGTACCATTCGAGTTTCAACCGTGAAGCAGTTGTGTTTGCATGGCTGTGTTTCGGTTTGAAGGGCGTGAATTTACTGGGTACACAGGAATAACACCTGAGTCCTCAGGAATGGCAACGCATGGGGGGTATCATGGGCGAAACAGTATACTCTGTTATGTCCATGGTACTGCTCATGTCTATAGGCGACGGTTACCACTTTCCATCAGGTGGGTCGTCAACTTATTTGCCATTCTAAGTTGTAAAAAAAAAACTTTTTCTTAGAATTTAGCTTGATAAATAGCTGTGAGTGTTTCATTTATAACTTTTATATTTATTTTTTATTATTATCTTATTTTATTAATAAATAATTAAATATAGATATGTCAAAATACATTGTGTGCGTATTGATAAAAAAAACGAGTCAGCTAATTTGACAACGAGCTGACAAAAAGTTGACCAGTTTTTAAGACTCGATGCTCTATCTATATATGTATATCTAAAAATAATTAAAGATTTTGTCACACAAAAAACCCAGTTTAATTTTGACCTAATAATTTTTGGTCTAGAAACTGAACCACTTAAGCAATAACGATATAATCTCTACGGGACCAATCTGTAGTCCATATTCTTTCTGATAAAAAGATAATTTTCAAAATTGGTTTAGAACTGACGGAGTTATGAAGGACAAACAAGAAAAATACTGTCCAAACGAAGGAGGTTCTTAACGTCCCTTTTTTTGAAGTCTTTTTGAAAGGAAATACTAATTTCTAACATAGTTGCCAGATGCAAATAAAACACTTTTTTTTATACAACGTAGAATGGCAAACAAGCTGATGGAAAGTGGTAACCGTCGCCTATAGACATGAGCAGTACCATGGAAATACCAGAGTATACTGTTTCGCCCATGATAACCCCCATGCGTTGCCATTCCTGAGGACTCAGATGTTATTCCTCTATACCCAGTAAATTCACGCCATATCCCACCCCTCAAACCGAAACACAGCCATGCAAACACATACATGTTATTTTTCTAACAGATGGAGTAATATGCATGTTTGTTTGTCCACAGGTCGAGCGAGATATGAACATTGAACGGTGCATCACATGGAATAAGATTGAAACATAAGCCTATCATTAGTTTAAGGTCAAAATGTCGCATCATTTAGTAACAGTTTGTATGTTTTGCCTACTTTGTGCTGCCCACACATGCGGCTCACACATAGATATACAAAATAATGGTATACTAACCTACGATCCAAGTATAGAACCGGAACATACGATAGTAAATTTAGAAGAGAAGAGGCGACTAGACTCGAAGGCGAGGTATCACCAGAAACTCCAGAAGATCAGGCACAAAGAAAGATCAAAGAGGGAGTTGAAGAGTTTGAACCCGAACACGTATTACGTAGAGCAGATATTCAGACTGTACGGCGATGCTCAAAGCATGACGATGAATCTGACGGGCTTCAACAGGATGCTGGAGAAGTTAGACTTACATAAGTTAATAGAGGGAGGGTCTGAGACTACGGACAATATAGGTTACATTGGCCAAATCGGTGCTAAACAAGACGTTATAAATGTAAGTTGTCTTTTAAGAGTATTATCATTGCTATCTTATCATTATTTGACTGTTTTTTTGGATTTCGTACCTCCAAAGGAAAAAAATCGGAACCCTTTTAGGATCACTTCGTTGTCCATCCGTGACGAATTCAACGATAAATTAGTAGTTAGTTTCCAAGGGGAACCTCGTGGAGGTTAACCTAAAAGGGTATATTGATAGCAATGGGGCAAACCTTCCCGTTACTAACAATCTCTTTCCGCTTCTTAGGATCGTTTGATGGGTACTATCGGCCTTACAGTGTATTTAGTAATATCCACTATGCTGTTCAAGTGTTATAGTCGTGTAGGTCCCAGTATAGAATAGGCTACCCCTTCATTTCCCGTGGGTGTCGTAAGAGGCGACTAAGGGAGCTTATGGGGGAGGGATGGGCGTCCCTCTTAAAACAGCATCAAAAGCCAAACTGCGGTTGTCAACCCGCCTGCCAAGCGTGGCGACTACAGGCAAAATCTCCCAAAAAAATGGGGGAGGCTATGTTGAGCAGTAGCTACGTTCAGATCTATAGGCCACGATTATCACTTTCCATCAGGTGGGCCGTCAGCTTGTTTGCTCATAAACTCTCAATCATTTCCAGTATCAACAATAAAAAGCAGCATCAATAATGTTCATTTCAATTCCTTCAATTCCAGTGCGTCAGCAGTGCCGAACTCATCACAACCGTGAACACGAGGTTAAAACCTCACGAACACGACCATGACCACGACCACACACACGAGGACCACGACGCGGAAGTCTTGTCCAAAGACACCCTGCAAAACATTTGCCCTATACTCCTATATCAAAAACTTGCCAATACATCTATAGAACAGCTCGGATGTGTCAAAGAAAAGAATCTACCCAGCATAAGAGTTGACGGGCGAGATTTGAAGCGCGCAGACGAGGCAGAAGGCAAAAATATGTATGCCGTCTGGTTGTACTCGTCTCTAAGTATAGCAGCTATTAGTGCCTGTGGTCTTTTAGGTGTGGCTGTGATACCTATCATGCATAAGACATATTATAATCATTTGTTGCAATTCTTGGTCGCGTTAGCTGTCGGCACTTTGTGTGGTGATGCCCTATTGCATTTAATGCCACATGCAATGAGTCCGATTGAGCACGAGGACACAGCAATCACTGTGCACTCCCATGACGACGGTATGTGGAAGGGATTAGCCGCAATGCTGGGTGTGGTCTTCTTTTATTTCACGGAAAAGGGCCTAACTGTTGTCGTCGAGTGGAGGAAGCGCAGGCAGAAGTTGGAGGAAGATAAATTGCCTTCTAGAGTTCGCGTGTTCAAAGATGACACGGCCGGCGGTTGCTCGGGTGGCTCTAAAGCCCCAATCACTAATTCGACCTCCAATTCTCTGTTGAAGATCTTCAAGAGGGACGACAAAGGTGATCCCACAACTATGACGTGCAAACACAAATACTCAGGATACCCTTACTGTTACGACGAAATTGACACTGATACTCATGATGATCATCACCTCAGAGATGGTCAAATACCGCCCAGTCCTAAAGCCAACAAGAATCACAATAACTCAGTGAGTGTGGTCTCGTCGAACGCTCTCAATTCGGAGGCGAAAGAAAATGAGCCAACAGCCAAAGATTGGCTGTTGAAGGCTGAGACGACTCCAGCTGTGGTGGAAATGAACAATATCAAGCATAAAGAGGAAGGTGCTAAGGATTTGAAGGATGGGGACAGCTATACAGTTATATTAAGGTGAGTGGTTTGTAGTTGTGTTTTTTTTAAGTGACTTCCAGATGGCGCTTTTCAATTTTTATTTTTTGTGTTACGAGCTATGTCGTTCAATTCTGTACCAATTTTGGCAATTATTCTTCAATCATTTAGAGTTTTATATTAATGTTAGGATGATAGAAGCTTCCTTTTTTTTGGAGCAAAAATTCTGCTGAGTTGCGAAGTTGTTTTCTACAAGTAACTTATATTAAAAACAATATCAAAACAATATCATCTGGACGTGTGGCGGTCTTCCACCGTGCGTTTTTCAACGCACTTTCTTCCACGCACAACCATTCTTTGGTATCAACTTCCAGCAGCAGTATTTCCGAACCGATACAACATCATAACCTTCAAGAAAAGACTATATTCCTTTTTAAAAGGCCGGCAGCACACCTGCAATGCCGCTGGTGTTGTGGGTGATCATGGGCGGCGGTAGTCACTTACTATTAGGTGAGCCGCATGCTCGTTTGCCCCCTGTGTTGTAAAAAGAAATATCAAAATAGGTTCTGAACTGATGAAAAAAATATATGAATGAATTGACAACTCCTTGTTATCGAAGTCATTTAAAAATTTATACTATACATGTTTTTAGTTGGTGATAGACATAGTAACTTTTGTTTCGGCCAATTATAAGTGATCGTTATCCTTTATACGTTATCACTTTATTACTTATACTTTATTTGCTTTACCAGAGGAGACTTTGTACAAAAGTCGATTGCTTGGGCACCTCTGTTACATTCGTGTTTCTGCCGTGAAGCAGTTGTGTTTGCATGGCTGTGTTTCGGTTTGAAGGGTGGGATATGGCGTGAATTTACTGGGTACAGAGGAATACATCTGAGTCCTCAGGAATGGCAACGCATGGGGGGTATCATGGGCGAAACAGTATACTCTGTTATGTCCATGGTATTGCTCATGTCTATAGGCGACGGTTACCACTTTTTATCAGGTGGGCCGTCAGCTTGTTTGCCATTCTAAGTTGTATAAAAAAAATACAATATAGGAAATAAGCGAGACAATTTACAAACGCAACGATACAATTGTATAAGTACAGTGAGGCGGTCTTATTGCTGAGAGCAATCTTTTCAAGACAGCCTTAGGGTAAAAAATATAATAGTATTTAGGTAAGCGGATGTAAAAGTCTGTAAGGATGCCAAGATGTTTCGTTACCAATCCGTTTAAACAAGGATTTAAATGAAATTTGGTACATGGGTATGTTTTGATGTGTGAAAATGGTATGTTAACCCCGCCTGCGCTAACGAGATACGCTGGCGGAGCACCAGTGAAGGAGGATAGGTGAGAATGAAGCAGGTCAGTTAGCCCATCGTGACGAATTCAACAAGAATTGTTCACGATGGTTTCCAGGGAGAACCACGTGGAGATCGACCTAACAGGGCGTATTGCTAGCAATGGGGCTGTCAAACTCCATTGCTAATAATCCATTTTCCCCCCAAATATACTTATTTTTATAATTATTGCTTTTACTCGTTCAATAAACGGTACTGACATAAAATATTTGTTTTACGATAGCAATTGGCGCCCAACGTGGGTCCGCCTTTTATAGCTACAAAACTGATAAAAATAAATTACACAGTAAAATTTATATTAAAGTATGTCATTCGCGAACACGATTCGTTTTCACGTATATATCTCTGTATATCTGTCTCGCACTAACATGTGCGTTATCGGTACACGCTGGCGAGGAACCAGTGAGGGGTGATAAGTGAGGATGAAAAGGCAGGTCAGTTAGCCCATCGTGATGAATTCCACTAGAATTAACCACTATGGTTTCCAGGGAGAACCTCGTGGAAGTCGACCTGTGTTGTGTATAGCTGGCAATGGATCAGTTAGACCCCATTACTAATAACCCCCTTCCCCTTTTTATCTGTTTGTAAATGTTCTGTAAGTAATGCAAATAAATTATAATATCTATTGATCCGTCTGTCTCCTTGACTGCTGCAGGGAGCACTCGCGAGCCCACCACGGGCACTCGCACGCCCACGGCCACGTGCACGCGCCGCCTTCTTCCATGTCTTCCGTCGCGTGGATGGTGATCATGGGCGACGGTCTACACAACTTCACCGACGGCATGGCCATAGGTAAGGATCTTAGATTATGGATTATAGAGCAGTATTTCCCAACCTTTTTTGTGCCACGCCCCACTTGAACATTTCTAAAATTTTTATGCCTTCATGCATAATTTTTCCCGACAAAGTCAAGCTCAAGTCAGGCCGCATATGGAATACTGTTCTCACTTATGGGCAGGAGCGCCACAGTACCAACTCCTTCCGTTAGACCGCATTCAAAGTCGGGCGGCTCGAATTATTGATAGTCAACGCCTTACTGTCCAACTCGACTTACTGCAACTACGCAGAGATGTTGCATCTCTGTGCATCTTCTACCGAATTTATCATGGGGAGTGTTCTGAGGAATTGTTCGGATTGATACCTGCTGCTGATTTTCACCACCGTACAACCCGCCACAAACTAAAGTTTCATCCCAATCATCTGGACGAGTGGCGGTTTTCCACCGTGCGTTTTTCAAGGCACTTTCTTCCACGCACAACCACTCTTTGGATTTTTTTTAATTAACTTTTTTTTTGTTAAGATTGGCACCGGTATCTACTCGTAGCATTTAAATGGCCCCGAACAAGAGGGTTAAAATCGTTTTGAGTCCATTTCATAATTGCCCCCCTGTGGGGCGTGGGCCCTACGTTGGGAAACACCGGATTAGAGCCTCGAGCCTCAAAACCGGATCAACTGTTTGTCAGCTAATTGTCAAATTAGCTGACTCGTTTTTTTTATCAGTGTTCTATATACTTACGCACACAATGTATCTTGACGTATTATTTAATAAATAAAATGAGTGTTTACGCATTAAAAAGATGCAAAAATTATAAGACAAAATAAATATAGAAGCTATAAAGGAATCACTCATAACTATTGATCACGCAAAATTGTATGAAAAAGTTGAGCCACTTTTCTCGAAGCATTTGTATGGAGACACTCTATCTATATATTCTAAGGTGAAGATATACACACCACCGGACACATACGCACACATACGGAACGGTAACCCTGCCTGCGCTATCGGTACACGCTGACGGGGCACCAGTAAGGGATGATAGGTGAGGATGAAAATGCAGGTCAGTTAGTCCCGTATTGCCGAATTCAATAAGAATTAAGCACGATGGTTTCCAGGGGGAACAGTCTAGAGCAGTAGTACCCAAACTTATTTTGTCTACTGCCCACTTTGAGAATAAATTATTTTTTAGCGCCCCCATTTTTTCACCCATTTAAAAACCACTATTACTTCATGATCAACAAACCACCCTCCAAGTCTCTACACAATGCACCCATTTTTTTCTGGGTCTATTAAAGACTCCCTTTAGGCCCGCAGCGCCCACAAGGGGGTGTTATCGCCCACTTTGTGAAAGGCTGGTCTAGAGGATGTTGGAGGACTGAATGGTGAATGCTCTCATGTCTGGCTTCCTAAACGTCCACTAGGGGGCGTTATAGTCCACTTCGAGAACCTATGACCTAGTTGATTAATGAATATAAAACAATTTTTTTTAATATTTTTTCCTTTTCAGGTGCTGCTTTCGCGTCCAATTTAGCTGGTGGCTTCTCCACCGCCATCGCGGTGCTCTGTCACGAGTTGCCCCATGAATTGGGTGAGTTTCATCATCCATCATCATCACCATCTTCTCAGCCTATTTCTGTATACTGCTGTATATATACTATCTGTTATGTCCACGGTACTGCTCATGTTTGTAGGCGACGGTTACCACCTTCCATCAGGTGGACCGTCAGCTTGTTTGACATTCTAAGTTGTATAAAAAAAAAGCAGGTTGGTGATTAAAATTTTTGGAAGTATTTTGAGTGGATTTATAAAGGAGTTTTGGGGAGGGGTTAAGACGTTACTATGTGGGAGACTGTGGGGTACGATAGTGACAGCTGTGGTCTCCGGGGGTGTTGTACCCCATATTCATCAGAAAGATGATGGATGAGTTTAGTTAACATAATGAAAAGGCAGGTCAGTTAGCCCACCGTGACGAATTCAATGATAAATTAGTCACTATGGTTTCCAGGGGCGACCGCGTGGAGGTCGACCTGCTAGGGTATATTGATAGCAATGGGGCTTATTCTCCCCATTACTAACAGTCCCTTACCCCCTACAATTCCATTATCATCCATTAAAAAGTATGGTTTGTGTGTATGTGGCCGTAGGCGATTTCGCGGTGCTACTGAAGGCTGGCATGTCGGTGAAGCGCGCGGTGTGTTACAACGTGCTGTCGTCGGCGCTGTGCCTCGCAGGCATGGTGTGCGGCGTGGTGGCCGGCGACACGCCCTCCGCCACGCGCTGGCTCTTCGCCATCGCCGCCGGCACCTTCCTGTACATCGCCCTTGTCGATATGGTGAGCTGCTTTCAAACCACGTCAATAATATTACCATATTTATTTATTTATTCATTAGTACATATATGTGTACATGGCGGACTTAATGCTAAAAGCATTCTCTCCCAGTCAACCGTAGGGAAGTGTCAGAATACACGAATGCGGTACTAGTAATTATTGATATACATACATACTAAAATTATATATATAAACGAATAAATATATATAAATAACAAATATACTTACACATATATGACATATACTATATTATACACGAAATTGAGAATAATATAAAGTACTTACTGCTCGGGTAAAGTAAAAAAGTGAGCGTGAACGCTTTTTTGAAAGACGGTTTAGTCGGTAGTCTCTTAATGGCATCAGGAAGCGCGTTCCAGAGTCGTGAAGAATGTAGGAGAAAAGAGTTTGAAGCGAAACCAGTACGGTGTGAGTGGAAAGATAGTTGGAGAGTGTTATTGGAACGAAGGTTACGATCGTGAGTTTCAAAAAGGTATTGGAATTTGCTGCTTAAGTAGTTTGGAGACCATACCATAGTAGACGTTAAATGTCCACGGCTGAACATCTCTCCCTTCAGTCGTACACTCTTGACATAGTGCTCGTGGGTTTTATAATGATAGTGCATCGTCGATGAGGCCCTCCCTCGCGATTGAAGTCCTCGCTGTACGTCTTTTTTTTATACAACTTAGAATGGCAAACAAGCTGACGGCCCACCTGATGGAAAGTGGTAACCGTCGCCTATAGACACGAGCAGTATCATGGACATAACAGACTGTTTCACCCATGATCCCCCCCATGCGTCGCCATTCCTGAGGACTCAGGTGTTATTCCTCCGTACCCAGTAAATTCACGCCATATCCCACCCTTCAAAGCGAAACACAGCCATGCAAACACAACTGCTTCACGGTGGAAACACGAATGGGACAGAGGTAGCCAAGCAATCGACTTTTGTACAAAGTCTCCCTCTGGTATGACTGTGTGTATTATTTATTTATGTATTAAAGTAATTTCCCTTAAATTACAGATGCCTGAATTGAGCACGTCACACAGCAACGAAGGCACACTGTGCCAGTGCATCCTGCAACTGATGGGTTTGGCCAGCGGCATAGGGATCATGCTGGTCATAGCCATGTACGAGCATGACTTGAAAAACTTGTTTGGTTAGTTGTACATCACGCGTGAACAGAAGTGATCCCAAGTGTTATGTGATCAGAAACGAACAAAAGTGAAGTGGAACAGAGTAGTACTTCAATACTATCGTACTATGTTACTTGCGCAGTAACGCTTTTATTTGTGAACGCGTCTCTTGCGCAAGATTTATAACCGTTTTGTGCAAGTTGTCGCCGTTGAACAGTAAGTGATGCGTGATCAGAAATGAACCTTTAAGTGTTAATGTAACAGAAGTGTATAAAATGTAAAGTGTAATCAAAGGTGAACAGTGAGACCAGTGGTGCCAATGGAATTGTGAATACCGAGATTTGAGTTTATATTATGTACCACAATTATATAAGGAAACAATATAGGTGATATGCAATATTGTATCTGTCCCATTCGTGTTTCCACCGTGAAGCAGTTGTGTTTGCATGGCTGTGTTTCGGTTTGAAGGGTGGGGTATGGCGTGAATTTACTGGGTACAGAGGAATAACACCTGAGTCCTCAGGAATGGCAACGCATGGGAGGTAACATGGGTGGAACAGTGTACTCTGTTATGTCCACGGTACTGCTCATGTCTATAGGCGACGGTTACCACTTTCCATCAGGTGGGCCGTCAGCCTGTTTGCCATTCTAAGTTGCATAAAAAAAAGTTCCTTCTTATTATTATGATGGGTGAAAATGGTATGGTAACCCCGCCTGCGCTAACGGGATACGCTGGCGGAGTACCAGTGAAGGGTGATAGGTGAGAATGAAAACAGGCCAGTTAGCCTATCATGATGAATTCATCGGGAATTAACCATGATAGTTTCCAGAAGGAACAGCAAGGAGGTCGACCTGGTTGGGTATATTGCTAGCAATAGGATTCTTAGTCTCCATTACTAACAATCCCTTTCCCCCCGCCGTTAAGGTGCAACAAGGTGACAAACAAACTCACTATCACATTTATAATATTAGTAAGGCTTGTTCAAGTGACACTGGTCTGGAAACATAATGGGTTTCTCTCTATTTTATAGACAAGTATTTTATCTCGAATCATAGATATAATACCTATTTTTTTTTCTTTAATACATAGTATTCCAGTTTTAAGTTGAGAAAGTTATTTACTTATACAACTTTTTTTTTTATTCTAGCAATTGTTATGTAAGCGATGACCCCCATATTACAATGTCTAAGTGTCCGTTCACACAGACCGGCTCGGAGAGGGTAGCGTATTTAATATATTTTTTTGATAGATAGATAGATATAGCATTTATTTATATTACTTACAGCACGCAAATAATAAAAGATATAGAGAGAGACATGCACAGTGGAAAGAGATAAAAAATGCATATACAAAAAGCTAAATACATAAAAGAAGTGACTTTTTTCAATTCGTGCGTGATTGAGTCGTAGATCGTTGATATAAAGTTCATTTTTACATTTCTCATTTACTTTTGTCGGCTCTCAAACATTCTTATATGTGAAAAGAAGTGAGATTTACTAATTAAATTGTTTTTTATAAAAAAAACGGACTTTAATTGTGGCAAAACTTAGTTATTTTGATTTATAAAGTAAATTACAGAAATGTTTTTGATAAAATTGTGAGATAAATAAATAAACATTATTATTATTATTATTAAAAAAATTACCAGTGGCAGACTTTGTACAAAAGTCGATTGCTTGGGTACCTCTGTCCCATTCGTGTTTCTACCGTGAAGCAGTTGTGTTTGTATGGCTGTGTTTCCGTTTGAAGGGTGCGATATGGCGTGAATTTACTGGGTACGGAGGAATAACACCTGAGTCCTCAGGAATGGCAACGCATTTGGGGTATCATGGGCGAAACAGTATACTCTGTTATGTCCATGGTACTGCTCATGTTTATAGACGACGGTTACCACTTTCCATCAGGTGGGCCGTCAGCTTGTTTGCCATTCTAAGTTGTATAAAAAAAAAATATTAAAAAAATTCTATGTAAACAATTTGTAAGTATACCTAGATTATCAGATATAAAAAGTTGTATTCAGTATTTTCAGATATAAAAGGATTTTCCAAATCTGTTTACAACTGACGGAGTTATGAGGTGACAAACAGAAAAAAAAATACAAACGAATTGAGAAGCTGCTTCTTTTCGAAGCCGATTGAAAATAAATCTCAATGATATTTTACAATTCTACATACATACATACATATCTGTCACGCATGTCTCCCATTAGTGTAGGCAGAAACAATGGAACGTCAAATGCTTCGACTCTAACAAACCTCTCTCGCTTCCTCCACATTCACCAATCTTTTCATACACGCTCGCCGGTTACGGGTACTTTTAATTTGGCCCTTCTTCAGCTCGTCGCCTATTTGGTCGACATACGTCCGTCTAGGGCGGCCCCTACCGACATCTCCATTCATTCTTGCTCGATAAATCTCTTTCGTAATTCTTCTTTCATCCATCCTCTCCAAATGGCCAAACCAACGCAACATTCCTATAACGATTCTATTTTAAATAATTATCTCCGAGCCGGTCTATGTGAACGGACACTGATTGTCCAGCGAGCAGGGCCGTAGCTAGACTCAAGTTTTAGGGTAGGGCAAAAGAACTTTTTCATTGGGCAGAAGTCGCAATTCACTTCGAAAAAGCGAATCTGTTTAAATTTCTTGGGGTCTTTTCATTGGGCAGAATTCACTTCGAAAAAGCGAATCTGTTTAAATTTCTTGGGGTCTTTTCATTGGGCAGAATTCACTTCGAAAAAGCGAATCTGTTTAAATTTCTTGGGGTCTTTTTATTGGGCAGAATTCACTTCGAAAAAGCGAATCTGTTTAAATTTCTTGGGGTCTTTTCATTGGGCAGAATTCACTTCGAAAAAGCGAATCTGTTTAATTTTCTTGGGCTCTTGTCATTTTAGGGTAGCAACGGCCCTGCGAGCGAAGACAGGCGCCTGTTTTAATTATAAGTTCAAAGTTAATAGTTAAATGAAACATTTTTATTTTGTAAACATTGCTTTTGCGAGAATTATTATTTTAAACTGTGGGCCCACCATGAAATGAAATTGCGAATTTTCGCGCTCAATGTCGTGTTTTTGTTCGTACCATAATCGACCCAGTAAATGGAGCTTAACGTTTCGTTCATCATAAATCCTATCCTAATAGTCCAAAGGAACGATATTTTAATATTTTTAATAATTTTAAACGGGCCATGTATTATGTAATTTTAACATCAAATTTCTATTTCGTTCGTCCCCGAAATTTTGGGAAAATATTTCATGGTAGGCCTTCTGTAATGCGTAACGTAAAGTTAATATATTAGTTTAATTAATAACAAGTTACAAATAAACGGTACGTTCAGTGATGAATCATTATTGATCATTGATGATTATGAAGGTTTTTTGATTAAACAAAATGCTCTTGAGAATTGTTTCTGTACCACTGAAAAATATGGAGTGAAATTTAAGTGATCTAAAATGTACTATATTAAGTTATATACTGCCTCTGTCCACCGTGCAAGTTATTTAGCGTGAAGATAGGGCAGAAATTACGTGAAATGAAAAAGTTTCGACACAAACGAGTGTGTAAAAGATGAAAAAAAAAGATAGCAAAAGATGAAAAAAAGATAGCAAAAGATGAAAAAATAGATAGCAAAAGATGAAAAAAGATAGCAAAAGATGAAAAAAATAGATAGCAAAAGATGAAAAAAAGATAGCAAAAGATGAAAAAATAGATAGCAAAAGATGAAAAAAAGATAGCAAAAGATGAAAAAAAGATAGCAAAAGATAATTCGAGAAGTAAAAAATTTTGTAATATTTTTTCATAAAACGTAAAACCGTCTCATAAACCTATTTTAGCTATTTTTTTTGATGGGTGAAAATGGTATGGTAACCCCGCCTACGCTAACGGGATACGCTGGCGGAGCACCAGTGAAGGGTGATAGATGAGAATGAAAACAGGCCAGTTAGCCCATCATGATGAATTCATCAGGAATTAACCATGATAGTTTCCAGGGGGAACCGCGAGGAGGTCGACCTGGTTGGGTATATTGCTAGCAATGGGATTCTTAGTTTTCCATTACTAACAATCCCTTTCCCCCCTATTTTAGCTATTGAACAGTTTTGTCTCTTTTGTGATAAGTTCCCAATTTGAAAGAAAGAAAACAGTGTTATAGTTATTACATAGATTTATTGAAGATTTGTTTTCGTAAATAAGGGATCTTGATATTTTTTTTTATTTTACCTCATAAAAGGTTCCCCATTCGATTGTATTTTTTTTCTATGTTTGTCTGTCACCTCATAACTCCGTTAGTTGTGAACCGATTTGGGAATTTTTTTTTTTGTATCTGAAAGGATATACTGACAGATTGGTCCCGTCGAGATTTTGTCAAAATCATATTCCATATTCAAATCCACTGTACGAGAATTGACGCGATGAAAAATTTTTACAGGTAAAAAAAAGGTTACCTACGTACCTGCTTCTTTATTGGCGACGTATCGTTACAGTATTGTTTTTAAATAAAATTGCTGATTATACCACAATTGTGGATTAATTATTATAAATTTTTTGAATTTTTTTTTAATGGGTGATAATGGTATGGTAACCCCGCCTGCGTTAACGGAATACGCTGGCGGAGCACCAGTGAAGGGTGATAGATGAGAATGGAAACAGGCCAGTTAGCCCATCATGATGAATTCATCAAGAATTAACCATGATAGTGTCCAGGGGGAACCGCGAGGAGGTCGACCTGGTTGGGTATATTGCTAGCAATGGGATTCTCAGTCTCCATTACTAACAATCCCTTGTCCCCCAATTTTTTGGATTAAAAAATACTTTAATAAATTGACAACAATGGAATCACTTATATTTCACTCTGTATTAAATTTAAGAAAACAATCTGCTTAGATTAAATAGATACTTAAGTTACGTATCTGAAAATACAGGACTTGAAACGTTGTACTTAACAACAAAAAAAAAAAATACGCTAGTTATAATAAAGAATGCCGTGTCAGTAAAACTGACACGTATTATATGATAAGTAAATATAGTTGGTCCATAAAATATGTTACTTTTTACATATTAAAAAAAAAAGTAGATAAAACATATTTCTTGTACTTAAAACGAGTTCCTTGTCGAAATTAAGTGTTAAAATGTATGGTTAATTCTGACCCCCCTACCTATAAACAATAAATCTGTAAAGCCGCTAATTGCTATGTAAAACATTTTTGTATTGTGCAGTGAGTTTTTAGGTACGGGGGTATGTTCAAGCCGTAATATTGTTCCAAATTCAAATGATCAGTTGATGTATTCTTTTTTCGAAAAGTATTTCTTTTTTTTCTTAACAATAATGGAAAGTATTATAGACATTTCATATTTCTTATAAAATCTGACCAGAAAATAAAAAAAATTGCTTTAAATATTATGTTGTGTTTGTTTTCTATCTAATTAACTATAGTAGCTTAAAATATCAGTCGTCTGCTATAGTTGGGTACCCCTGTCCCACTTGTATTCTTTAATAGGTTAAGATGAAATGGTAACCCCGTCTGCGCTATTGGTATACGCTGGCGGGGCACCAGTGAGGCATGATAGGTGAGGATAAAAGCAAGTCAGTTGGCCTATCTTAACGAATTTATTAATACTTAACTCTGATGATTTCCTGGAGGAACCACGTGGAGGCCGATCTGGTATTTATATCCTATATTGCTAGTAATGGAACTGTTGGCAATGGGAGCCGCGTGAAGGTCGGTCTGACAGAGTATGTTGCTAGTTCCAATGGGATAACTAGTTCAGTGGCGTAACTATACCATTTGAGTCCTGTGGCAAATTCCAACACTGATGGGGCCCTATCGGTAAAAATAAAATACTCAGATACAATGTAAAAAAAATCTGAGCTCGCGGCCTCTTGGGCCGGGCCCCTTTTGGGTCGGGGGCCCGTGGCATTTTGCCAGCCTAGCCACCCTATTGTTACGCCACTGAACTAGTTTCCATTATTAACAATTCCTACTCCTCAATGAGCTGTGCTTACATGGCTGTTTGAATTTAAGACTGATGTAAAAAATCATAAAGGAGAAGTTACAAGTCACGAAGACATCTTAACATTAATTCTCAATTTGCAGTAATTAGTGATTGTTAGATTCATTCGTATTAATTTAAGAATAAGCGTCATCTGTTGACTACTGTTTGCAACATTTGGTTTCTATTACATTACTGATATTGCTATTAGCCAATAGATGGCACATAAAACAAATTGTCTCCATTGGATGGTAGATGGCGCTGTTCTTAAAAACACATTACAAAATTTGTATATATATATTTTATTTTATTTTATCGCATCTACTCAACTTTTTATTTTTCGTGAAATTAATTTAAATAACAGTTTAATACAAAATTGGTTTCGGACTTTCAGTGTGAAGGTGAATTAATTATTTAACAGTTTTACTACAAAAATAATTTAAAACACTGGTTTGTCTATTTAAATAGTTAAATAAAACTCTGTATACATAAGTAATTAAATTTGCTGTAATAATATTTAAGTTTATCTGCTAATATATAAAGATTATAAGATTATAAGACTTCTCTTTTATTTAGACATAATAATAATAAATCTTTTATTATTATTATAAAGAGACATCCTTTTGAAGTTGACGTATAAACATCTATTGAACACCTGTTTATCGCATGTTTAACCTTTCTTGGTAAAATGGTGATAGGCAAAAAGTTTTAAAGATAACCGGCATAGTCTATTTATTAGAGTATTTACAGGCCCAAAACGTCGTAAATTTGAATTTAGCTAATATAAAAAAAAATGTGTTTTATTTAATTTTCGACTAACACACAGATAAGGGAAAACATCGTTAACTAAAAGTAACTTATAACGGAAACTAGCGATTCCATTATTAATAATACACCCTGCCAGGTTGACCTTCACGTATTTCTCTTGGTAACCATGCTGGTGAATTCGTCACGATGTGCCAACTGGCCTACATTCATCGTCACCTATCACCTTTCACTGGTGCCCCGCCAGCGTATACCAATAGCACAGACGGGGTTACCATACCATTTTCATTCATTAACAACCGATATACCTGAAGAAGATAACAATTCTTAAAATAAAAAAATAAAACAGTTAAAGTGGATAAATGAGACTATGGTTTTCATTCCATTTTCACCCATTAATAATCGCATCGATGGTAAAACGAAGGAAAAAATCTTTATATTTCCTCTATTTAATAATGCACCGCCTACTTATTTCTCTGTTCGCCCAATGGTCGACTGGTAGAGAACACCGTCCGGTGTTAAGTCCGCCAAATGTACATACAGTTTTACTGTGCATTAAAGTTTAAATAAATAAAGAATTTAAATATAAAATCAGCAATATTATAATAGTGATTGCGCGGCTAGCAGCTGGCCACCATTTTTTGGGTCAAACAAGCGTTCTTTTAAAACATATTATTTGCATTTGTATTGAAAACCTGAGGATCTCCTAGTGACTGATATTTCGTTGACCACAATAATAAAAAAAAAAGTAAATAATGAATGAGGTTTATTTAATATTTTTTTTTATAATATAATTAAAGTTTGAGGTTTCCTTTTACTTACATTAATATTGGCTTGTAATACATCCTGCGACTTCATCCGTGAGACCAGGATATGTTGTTCGGATTGATACCTGCTGCTGATTTTCACCACCGTACAACCCGCCGCAAACTAAAGTTTCATCCCAATCATCTGGACGAGTGGCGGTCTTCCACCGTGCGTTTTACAAGGCACTTTCTTCCACGCACAACCATTCTTTGGAATCAACTTCCAGCAGCAGTATTTCCGAACCGATACGACAACATAACCTTTAAGAAAAGAGTATATCCCCTTTTTAAAAGGTCCGCAGCACACCTGCAATGCCGCTGGTGTTGTGGGTGACCATGGGCGGCGGTAGTCACTTATCATCAGGTGAGCCGCATGCTCGTTTGCCCCGTGTGTTGTAAAAAAAAACCTGACAGGATAGGAAAAGAAAATGTTTATTGACCTGGATAAAAAGTAGCCTTAAAGCCTTCTCCGTTCTATGTAGTATGTTTACTATATCAAACAATATGTGTGTATTAACAAGGGCTCTCATTGGACACTGCAAACTAAACAAGTATATGGCCCAACTAGGATTATACCCAAAAAGTGTTCGCAGATTTTGTCACAGTGAGGAAGAAACGCCGCAGCACTGGATGTGTCGCTGTAGCCCACTCGTACATACACGATATATCTCCTTTGGAAAACACACTCTGTATCCTGAGGTGATAAAAAACATCACTAAAAAAAATCTTAAAATTCCTATCACTGATAGGAATTAGCAGAGAAGTTTAGAAAAAAGGACGAGTACAAAAGAACATGGTAAGGCCGCAGTGTCACAGGTTTTTTTGCCTGAAAAAACCCGTCTTTTAATAATACACACACTACATAAGTACACTAAATTTCATAGTGATTGGTTAAGCCGTTAAGGCGTTATAAGGTGACAAACAAACTCACTTTTACATTTATAATATTAGTAAGGATATATAAAGTAAATAAATGTTCCATAAAAAATCGACATTACTTTTTTTATACAACTTAGAATGGCAAACAAGCTGACGGCCCACCTGATGGAAAGTGGTAACCGTCGCCTATACACTCGAGCAGTACCATGGACATAACAGAGTATACTGTTTCGCCCATGATACCCCTCATGCGTTGCCATTCCTGAGGACTCAGGTGTTATTCCTCTGTACCCAGTAAATTCACGCCATATCCCACCCTTCAAACCGAAACACAGCCATGCAAACACAGCTGCTTCACGGTTGAAACACGTATGGGACAGAGGTACCCAAGCAATCGACTTTTGTACAAAGTCTCTCTCTGGTGAAACCCTCACTGTATTATCCCTCACTGGTGCCCCGCCAGTGTATACCGATAGCACAAGCTACCATTCAATTTTCAATAAAAAAAAAAATATTTAGTCCTGTACTAAGGCTGGCCCTTTACTTATTTCTTTTATTGACGTATGGGAACCTTAAAAAGACCTCATCTACCTATCATTACGGTCATATCCCGGTTGACCACAAGTCTTATTTGCGAGCAACGCCACCGGACAACACATGTTAAAACCGCATTATAAAGACCCAAAATTATAGTGTTGACTTCTACAATTTCATCTCATTATGTCCAAGGATTATTATAGAGTTCAGAATATGAAAATATACTCACGGCTACAATCTCTAATGGGGTAGTCAGAGCCATCTGTCGACTGTTCCCTTTGTGGTGAACGTAACATTCGAATGTGAATAATGCGGGAGAGAGCGAGCCTACCGCTGGCAATCGAATTAATTTGATTTGTTTACGGTGTTTGTCATCACCGCAAAGTTAGTCGAAAAATTTAATTAACACTAGATTCGAACTCATGATATTTTTTTTAACGAATATAATGTATAAATATATTTTCTAGTTTAAATATTTTATATTTAAACAAGAAAATGCAATTTATGCTGCTATAAATAAAACACATTTTTTCTTTTAACTAAATAGATTTTATCCCTCTTGTCACAAAGAACTAGCCGATATATAATATAATAACCTTCAAACGGAAAAAATAGATAGACAGATAAAAAATTTATTTGCATCACTTACAGCACACAAACAGCAAAAGACACAAATGCAATGTGAAAAAAGATAAAAAAAATATACAAGTACAAAAAATTTAAAAAAAAAAACAAAATCAAAATCAGAATGCATAAACGAGATAAAAGAGCAAAACACTGATATTCTGTTGTGGCCAAAAATACATCTTTTTATTTAAAAGTTTCCTCTTGTCGGTGCAACTAATTCATGCATTCTCTTCCAGCCAGCTCTATCCCAGGCCATATCTTTGACCTCCCTATACGACATGACGCCTAGTGTTTACTTTATCTGTCCCATGTAGTTATTCATCAGTCTTCCTTCCCCTTCCTCTTTTGCCCTCTATTTGTTTCTACTATACTCTTTAAAAAATCGTCATGTCGTTTAAGATGGCCCATCATTTTGCCTCTTCTATTCTCTAGTAACAGCACATGCATTGTGCTAAATCAAAAATGCCTTCATAATTCAACAATGAAGCTTTCACACGTAAAAAAGCCAACCCCCCGCAATTATTCACTCATTGAATCAATGTTTTGACATTTCGGTGCCGCCATTTTGTTCAAATTTATGGCGCGCGGTCACTTTGTAGAATTTTTTTTTTAAAGTTACATCAATAGATACCTGTACATTCATATATCAACTAGAGTCGGCGCCTTTACGCGTGGGTGGTCAGAATTGTCGCAAAAACTCTCGGTGAACCATTCTTCTAAAACTGTCTGATTAGATTTTGATAAATTAATTTATATTTTTTTAGGTTATTATTGTGCAAACGATTAGAATCATTAA